CCTGGCTTTGCTTTCTTTTCCTAGAGGGTCTAACACCTCTCCTGGCCCTGACATCTAGCTGGTCCCTGAGGTGGAGGCACAAGTCATGAGGAGGCAATGGGGAAACAGGATGGCAGCCTGTGCCTGCCTATGGATGCTTGGACATTAGAGGGTCACCAGCTGAATGTGGGCTGAGGGTCCCTGAACGCAACCTTTGTGCTTAGGGAGAACCCATTCCAGAGCTGAGAGAGAAGGATGTCAACATGCTGCTTCTTCCCTCTTTCTGGGAGCATTTCTTCTGCTCCTCCAATCCCGTCCCTGAGAGCTGGTCCCAGGTCCAGCCCAAGCAGGAGAGGCAGCCCTCACCTTCCCAGGTGTTTGTAGGCATGTCACTCTCCCTCCTAGAGAGCGTTCCCCACAGCTCCGCCTTCCCTGCAGGCCCCGTCCATCCTCTAGAGCACAAATCATCATCACCTCCACAACTTGAATATCTTTCTCAGCCATGCCTGATTCCTCTGCAGGAAGGAAAAAGGAAGCAGTTCCTAGTAGTGTATGGAGGGACCTACAGAAAAGCCAAGAGCCCACAGCAGATATTGCTTGTTTTTTACCTCTGACAACTCTGGAGTGGAAGAAAGGGCATCCATTGTAAAGTTCAACTCTTACCAAGTGGGTGAGGCTATAGATATCTTATCTCTTTCTTCAGCTGTGCAGCTCAGAGAGGCCCAGATGTTGAGCTTATGCAGGAGCTAGACCCACACATGCCCATCATGAGGTTGCGGCCTTGGTCCAGCCTGTGTATCTGAGGCTCCTAGATAGGCAAAGGCCATGAAGTTGGGGAGAACCTCTGAGCTGGGATAAAACTCAGGAAGAAGTATAAGTCTGTGGGTGTCAAGCTTCCCAGTCCCAGCAATGCTAAATATCTCCAGCAGCAACTTCTTAGCTTGAAGCAACCTTGTCTGTTCAATTTTATAATCACAAAGGAAAAAGTGTCCCAGTCCCCTGACCTTTCCTCTCATCACAATCCCCTTCCTCTGACATCACAGAGGCAAGAACTGTCCTCTCTGCTCAGAGAACTGAGTCAAGCGCGTCTCCAGGACAGACATTCAGGCAGAGCAAGCTCCAGGTTTCACCACAATGCCGATCCCTGCCTCCCCACTCCACCCATCTCTGCCTTCCTTACTGCTGTATCTGCTGCTTGAACTGGCAGGTGAGTGGGGCCTTATTGTGTGTGTGTGGTGGGTTCTTCCCTCTTCCTGTTTAGTGAACCCTCCCTCACCTGTTCCCATAAAATTTCCTTTGGGAGAGTTTTCTCTGTCTTATCCCAGAACAGGTAGAACTCAGAAGACTACACTGGGATGGCCCCCAGTTCTGACAAAATCTCCCAGTGGCCATGTCTGTTGCAAATCTCTTTGTTCAGGTAAAGGACTCACACCTATGGTCACAGGGCTGGGCACAGCACCCATCATAGCTCTTACCCTCCAGCCTCTGGAATCAAAGGATGTGTAATTTATTTTATTTTATTTTTATTTATTTTTTTGAGACAGGGTCTCACTCTGTCACCTAGGCTGGAGTGCAGTGGTGCGATCTTGGCTCACTACAACCTCCACCTCCTGGGCTCAAGTGATTCTTATGCCTCCACCTCCCAAGTAGCTGGGACTACAGGCACATGCCACCAAACTCAGCTAATTTTTGTCTTTTTTTGTAGAGATGGGGTTTCACTATGATGCCCAGGCTGGTCTCAAACTTCTGAGCTCAAGAGTTCCACCCGCCTCAGCCTCCCAAAGTACTGGGATTATAGGCATGAGCCACCACGCTTGGCCCCTGGCATGTTTTACACTTCTTTCTGTGAAATTCAGTTTTTTATTTCTCTGTTGCCACTGTATTTGGTTACTCTTAAAAAGTACTGCAAACTGGGTGGTTTAAATTACAGAAATTAATTTTCTCACAGGTCTGGAGACTAGACACTCAAAATCGAAGTGTGGGCAGGGTTGGTTCTTTCTGAGGACTGTGTTCTGTGTCTCTCTCTGAGCTTCTGGCAGTGGTAGACTCAAACATTTGTTGGATGGCAGGTGGCACCACCCTCCCTGTATCCTCACATCATCTTACTCCTGTGTATGTCTGTCTCTGTGTTCAAATTTCCACTTCATATAAAAACAAGCACCATATTGGATTAGCACCCACCTCAATGACCTCATTTTAACTTGATTTTCTCTGTAACAACTCTATTTCCAAGTAAGATCACATTAATCAACCCAAATGTCCATCAGTGACAGACTGGATTAAGAAAATGTGGCACATATACACCATGGAATACTATGCAGCCATAAAAAAGGATGAGTTTGTGTCCTTTGTAGGCACATGGATGCAGCTGGAAACCATCATTCTTAACAAACTATCACCAGAACAGAAAACCAAACACCGCATGTTCTCACTCATAGGTGGGAACTGAACAATGAGATCACTTGGACTCAGGAAGGGGAACATCACACACCGGGGCCTATCATGGGGAAGGGGGCGGGGGGAGGGATTGCATTGGGAGTTATACCTGATGTAAATGACGAGTTGATGGGTGCTGACGAGTTGATGGATGCAGCACACCAACATGGCACAAGTATACATATGTAACAAACCTGCACGTTATGCACATGTACCCTAGAACTTAAAGTATAATAATAATAATTAATTAATTAATTAATTAATTAATTTTAAAAAAAAGACCTCAACGTATATTTCAGAGGCATACAATTCAACTCATAATAGCCTCAACATGAAATTTTAATAACTTAGATATATTCTTTGTTGGTTTATGTACTGCATTTATATCTGTCTGTGCTTTATACATAGGAAGGGTAAGTATAAAGCTTGCTCTTTTTATTCAATGCAGAGTTAAGGATGACTAAAAATATTTAGGTAAAAGCTAACTTAAGACACTTAAAGCTAGTAAAACTCACTTGAATTTTTAACTGTACTTATTGGGTGTGGTACACAGACTGTAAGGTGACTCCCAACTATCCCACTCTTATGTAAGACTACACTGAGATGGCCCCCAATTCTGACAAAATCTCCCAGTGGCCATGTCTGTTGCAAATCTCTTTGTTCAGGTAACATGCTTCTATCTGTGTGTTGTGTGTAACATGCTTCTATCCGATAGAATATGGCCAAAGTGATGCACTGTCACCCCCTCGAGTATGTTAGGTTGTATAAGATCTATCACACTAGAGTTTTTCTTGCAACTTCTGGCCTTAAAGAAGCAAGGAGCCATGTTGAAAACTGCCTGTGAGAAGGCCCACGTGGCAAGAACTGAGGGAAGCCCCTAGAAGTTGAAGGCCTCAGTCCTACAACCACAAAGACCTGAATTCTACCAACAACCTGAGTGAACTTAGAATGAACACTTCCCCAGTCAAACCCCCAGATAAGAACACAGCCCACCTGACACCTTGAGTGGAGCTTGGTGAGACCTTGAAGCAGAGAACCCAGCTAAGCCATACCTGAATTACAAATTGACAGAAACTGTGAAGTAATTAATATGTGTTGTTTTCAGCCACTAAGTTTGTGGTAATTTGTTATTCAGCAATAGAAAAGGAATACACTTAGTAAGATTGCAAAACCATACAAAAATAAAGTCCTCCATTGTTTTGTAGAACTTATTTGTTTTTAAAGGTGTACAACTTGGTGGTTTTTTAAATATTATTTTGGTTTTAATTGACAAATAACAATTGTATATATTTATGTGGTATAATGTGATGTTCTTATACATGTATATACAGTGAAATGATCAAATCAGGCTAATTAACATATCCATCACCTCACATACTTATCACTTCTTTGTGGTAAGAACTTTTAAAATCTACTTTTTTAGCTATTTTGAAGTATGCATTAACTATATAATCACCATGCTGTGCAATAGATCATCAGAACCTATTCCTCGTGTCTAACTACAACTTTATAGGCTTTGACCAGCATCTCCCATTTCCTTGTCCAACTCCCCACCACCCCAGACCCTGGTAACCACATTCTATTCTTTACTTCTTTGAGTTTGACTTTTTTGGATTCCACATATAAGCGAGATTCCACATATGAGCAAGATCATGCAATATTTGTCTTTCTGTACCTGGCTTATTTCACACCATAATATCCATGGTGTCATAAGTGACAGAATTTTCTGATTTTTAAAGGATAAATAGTGTTCCACTGTGTGTGTGTGTGTGTGTGTGTGTATAATCACGTTTTTATTCATTTATACATTGATAGGCACTTCAGTTGTTTCTATATTTTGGCTATCATGAATAACACTGCAATTTTGTAGAACTTCTCTTGGAGACATTTTGTGTATCTGCCATGAACTCAATGTCAGTGTGGCTTGTGTGATACCTAAGAACACGTGACAAGAGCAATTAACTAGTAAGGAATAAGATTTTATTGGGTAGGATTGAGCATTGACAAACCAACCATTGTAACATCTAAGATATTCCCATACTCCAAAAACCAATTGTCACCTTTTATGGAAAATAGTAACTTCACTGAGAATGCATGCCTCAGTGTTTACTCTGGGAGAGGTGAATGAGTGGCCTTTCACACCATAGAAGATCTGGTATTGGAGGGAGCTGCCTCCATATGCAGGTCACTCCATATGCACTCCGTATGCAGTATGTTGGTTATCAACATACTGTCCTTAGCTGGGGCCGTATCCCTGATTCTGAGACAATTAGAAAAATCTGACCCAAATTATATTTTGTATATTCTCATTTAATAAAAATATATTCATATATTTATTTAAAATATGTTTTTTTAGCGCCTAATATATTGCAGGCCATCCTCATGCCCCAATGCAGAAGGAAAGCGCCATTCTCCTATTTGTACACTGATACCCTCCCCTTCACCTCACATGGCATCTAGCATTGTAATTTTTATATGACTGGTGCCATCACATGATGCTGAAATAAAACTATCATATTGAGATCCCACCTTGACCTATAACCAGACCCTCAGAGCATCTTGAGCCAAGACAGAGAACATGAGAGATGATTCCACGTTTCTTTCCAGGAACTTCAGATGAAGAGTTCCAGGTGAACCAGCCTCAGACTTTAGTGTCAGTCAATCCTGGAGATGTCCTAACCCTGGCCTGCAATATGTCTGCTCTGTCCCCAGAAGGGCCTGTCTTGTGGTTCAAGAGCACTGGGCCAGGACAACAATTAATCTATAGTTTCAATGGAAGCCACTTCCCCAGAGTAACTCCGGTGGAAAACACAATGGTCAATCAAACTGACTATTCCATTCGCATCCGTGACGTGTTGCCAGAGGATGCTGGCACCTACTACTGTGTGAAGTTAAGGGTAGGACACCCTGACATGGAGTTTTTCTCTGGTCCAGGCACCATCGTGTATGTGAATGGTGAGCACAGCCTGATGCACTTTATTCCCTGGGTTTATGAAGATGAATCTTTAAAATCCTTTACCGTGTACCAAATCATCACTACATACTGAATGCTGTGCTCCTTTATCCACAAACTACCCTGTAGACTAGGTTTCTACCAATGGCCTTTCTAGTAAGCCATTCTGGACAACCTGTGCCAAATATTGAATCAAGCTATGTTGACAAGCCACATCCTTCCCTGATGCCAACCCCACCAGAACCCATGACATAGGAGACACTTAAAAATAAAAAGATACTGGGTATGCAAAGTGCAACTACATGTGTGCACTGCATGGCCTAAATGGTAAGAAAACTGGGCCCTAGAAGGCTGACTGACTTCTAAGGTTCTAGGAAGAAACCTGGGCCCAGGTATATGCATTGCGTATATTATGACTTATTTCATGACCCCAAACTTCCAGTCACAGATGCTAGCAGCCACATCTTAGCTTCTGATCGAATATCAACATAGGTGAAGTTTTCCCCAAAATGCCCAGTATCTCCTGGGCCAAAACAAAGGGCTCTTCAGGCAGGTAGACTCTCTACATGCCTCCATGATCCCACTCACCTTCCCATTACCAACTAGAATGTGATTGGGGCCTGATAGCAAGTACCTGAGTGGTCACCACAGTCCAGTCTGAGATCACATTCCCATTCCCCATACAAGTCAATGAGTGGATGTGATCTCCTACCATGGCCTGGCACTGTTGGGGAATTCTCAGACCAGAAAGGGGGGTCTTGTGTATCGATCTCTCCAAAGTCTTTTTTGCAGAAAGCCTTCCCAGAGGAGTTGAGTCCTTTCCTGACACTTGAGTTTTCCCAGGTCTGTCCTGAGACTTCCACGCCCAGCCCCACTGTTCTTTCATTCCAAGTATTTTTATTCCCAGGATAACCAGTAATTCCTTCTCCTCACCACCCCTGAATTAACGTCATGAAATACAGTGATATTAGGTGTCCCTCTATTCTTCCAGGAGAACTGACCTTCCCAGTAATGTTTCCCTTGAATCCAGACACATTCCATAATGCCTAAATGGCAATGGAAAATCCACAAGTTTCCCTTAAGTTACATAATGTCAATGCAGACTGCTTTCCCACACTACCTCCTGGCCTTGCCAACCAGGAGTTCCCTTTCTCTCTAACCTGCTCCTTACGCAGTCTGTGGTTTTGACAACCAAGCTTAATAGGAGAGATTATCACCAGGACCTGACACATTGTAGGGTAATGATGATGACTGTGTAGGAGGGTAAAGGGTGGCCAGTTAGAACCTCCAAAACTGTAGAGGGCCCTTGAGGTTCTAATCTCTTTTTGTTAAGGAAAGGAAACCCTCTCCCTTCTTTCTCTTGAAGAGAGAAGCAGTGGAACTATATGCTGTTGCCATGACCACCTCATTCTTTAATTGTTTTAACTTCTCCACATCTCTCAGCATGAACTTCTCTACAAATTCAGAGAATAATCACCCTTCAGAGGAGAGAGGAAGGCCAATCCCAAACTCAGTGGAGATGTGGGGTTGAGGGACAGGACTTGAACCCAGTTCCAAATGTACCGAGTGACTCTAGGCAATCAGATGGATAGGGGAACTAGTCTTTCTCCATGAACATTACCCATTGATAATTCCCCCTTCTCCCTCCCTGTCCTCCCGTTACCGTGGTTGAGGGCTGAGGAATGGAACTGAGGAGGAATACATCTGGTCCTCTAGACTAACTCCCCTTCTTCAGCACTCTGGGGAGAAGCTGCCTCCATGTGCAAAGGCCTCTCTTTACTCAGTGCATGGGCATTTATGCATGTCGTTAAAAGAATTAATGAATGAGGCCCAACCATGACCTGTACCCATGCTTAAGCCAGAGAAGGGGAAATGAGAAATGATTTTCAGTTTCTTTCCAGGAGCCACACATATGTTCCATGTGCAACAAACAGAGATGTCGCAGACTGTATCAACTGGGGAGTCAATCATCTTGAGTTGCAGCGTACCAGATACCTTACCAAATGGACCTGTCTTGTGGTTCAAGGGAACAGGGCCAAACCGGAAATTAATCTACAATTTCAAACAAGGTCACTTTCCCAGAGTAAAAGAGATTGGAGACACCAACAAGCCTGGCAACACAGACTTTTCCATCCGCATCCATGAAATCTCTCTTGCTGATGCTGGCACCTATTATTGCGTGAAGTTCATAAAAGGGAAAGCTACCGAGGAGTACCAATCAGGTCAGGGCACTCAGGTGTTTGTTACAGGTCAGTATGTCTCCTATATCTCATACCCCCTGGAGAATAATATCATCTCAGCAGTTACGTCTTCTATTCATTCAACAATTGCTATGTGCCAAATATTATTGAAGGTACAACATAAATTTGATCTTTTTAATTCTCTCAGCAAACTGTGAGTTAGGTATTTTACAGGAAGAAAAAAAGACTCAAAAGGTTGAGTGCTGAGTGATGAGAGCTATTTTGGTTGATTTCTCAATATTCAATCCACCCCCTATGACTAACCTAAGCCAACTAGTATAATTCCATGTTCCCTGCTAGAGGTTTACTCAAATATGGGATGAACTTGGCCAGTTTGGGTCTATCAGAGAAAAATACAGGCTTGCAGAGAAATCTGGTAATCTAAAGTAATTCTTCCCCTTCTTGGCTGGAAACAAGCAATTGTGTTGCTCCAGGTTCTTTAAGCAGGCATCTTATGACTATGAGGGGAATAAGGTTGAGAAAAAGTCTAGATGAATGCAGATATGTAACCAGTGTAGATTTGACAATATGCACAACCATACTGCTCCTTGTTCCAATCTCACCTCTGGACTTCTAATAATGTGAAAGAAAACATCTCCTTGCTAAGCCAATTTGCTTAAATCAACAATGTCCTAAGGGCTACAAGAATAATAAAGGTCCCACATCCCACAATGTGTTGTAGTGTGTTGAACTGCAAGTACAAATCTATGTTTTCTGCATCCAAAGCCTTTTTCTTAGTGTTTTGCTACTTGTGGTGCCGTGTGAACTTTGGGCAATATCCAGCCTGAGAAATTAGTAAATTGGTCATACAATAATGCTAACATTTATTGGGCATCTACTATATTCCAAACATTTCATCTATATTATCTACATAGCAACATTTGAATTGCTGGATGCTTGTACTCACTGTACAGATGAGGAACCTAACTTAGGGAGATTTCAGGAGTGTACATAGTAGGGAATAAAGAGGTGGGGTTGTCTGGACCCAGTCCAGTATGCTCTATATTAGTGAAGAACATTTACTTACAAGAGAGAAGATCAAATGCATTAATTTCAACCAAAAATATGAGTTGATTGATTCTGTACCTGCAGAGAATTCTGGGTTACTCACAGTATTCAAGGCAGAACTTTTGGAACCAGGGACTAAAGCATTGGATTTAGGGCTTAGTGTTACCAAGATTGTGGCTCTCTGACATTGTCTAATCTCTTCATGGCTTTGTTCTTTCCTGCTGCATAAAAACCTTCAGTATACGATAGTGAAAATAAATGCAGAAAGTGTTGATATTCATTCCCCCATCTTACAACCGATGTGGAAAGAGAACTTCTTCCTACCAACCTTCACAAATGAGTTCTAGGGAACTATCCATATTAGCCTTTTGTATGCCTTGTTGTCAACATTTTATTCATTGTTGCTAGGGAGATGAGATGCCATGAGAGATAAGCAGTCAACCCAATGGAACAAATGCTAAGCAGGTTGAAAATAAAATATGTTCATCCACCACATGGTCCACGCCCTACCTTATCAGATGAGGAAGTTGAGCCTCTGAAAGGTTAATGGGCTTGTCTTCCAGGCTATGGGTACTGGAACCCCAGTAGACTCTTCTCAGAACCCTTTGGGTTTATGGCTTTGCCTTCTTCTTAATAAGAAGTCTCTAGTTAGAGTGGAGGTGTAGGAGTGCATGACAGCTGTTTAGAGGGAGAATACTGTGAATGAGTTCAATATCCTTATTAACATTCAAATGTTCTGAGTCAGAAATGTACCAAACTTATGCCATTTCTTAATAAATAAAAATGTTTATATATATTTTTAAAATACTTAGCTATGTATTAGTTTCTTGTAGTTGGTGTAACTAATGGATACAAATTTGACAGCTTAAAACAACTGAAATAGACCCTTATGGGTGGCATAACAGCACAAGAAGTTCCAAGGGCCCACTCCATGGAAACTGGTGAAAATCATTTTTAAAAAATATTTAGAGTCTCTGGAAATAGTATTAAGGGCATATCATAAATGAAGAAATAATTTTTAAACTACTAAAACTGGGGAAGAAAAGTAAAAGTCTGATATTTGAACCAAAACCTCCCTTTTCCCTGTCAAAGTCTACACCCCATGGCAAAGAAGAGGAATCAACTGTACCAAAATAATCCATCCAGTCACTCAACAACTGAACAAGCAGATGACAATAACAAGCCTTGGTGGTTGTGAGGGAGATCAATATCCAGAGTTTCTACAATATATTATGTAAAATGTCCAGTTTCAAAAAAAGTGAGACATGCAATAGAACAGAAAAATATGACACATATACCAAAAACAAACCAAAAAAAAAGGTATCAGAAACTGCTTGTTATGACCACCAGATGTCAAACTTAACAGGCAAAGCCTTTGATGTAACCATTACAAATATATTCAAAGAAACGTGATTAAACAAACCATGATTAAATAAGTACAGGAAAGTAAGATGATAATGTTGCATCAAATAAGATATATCAATAAAGAGATAGAAATTATTAAAAAGAACCAAATGGAAATTTTCTTATTCAAAAGTATAACAATTGAAAGAAAAATTGCCCTAGAGGGAATTAACAGTAGATTTTAAGAAGGAGATTTAGCAAATTTGAAATAGATTAATGTAAATTATGGAATCTGAAGAACAGAGAAAAATTAAATGAAAATAACATTTAAAAAATGAACAGAGCCTCAGAGAAACGTAGGCCATCATTAAGCACACCACATACATGTAATAGGGATAGCAGAAGGAGAGGAGAAAGAGAAAACAGCAGAAAAAATATTCAAAGAAAGAATAGTTGAAAATTTCCCAAGTTTATTTATTTAGCTGAACTGAAGATTGAAAAAGGAAACTCAAATTACTAGAATCAGAAATGAAAGAAGGAATATTATAAGTAACCTTACAGAAATAAAAAGAAATATTAAAGAATACTATGAAAAAACGTGTGCCTATAAACTAGGTTTATATGATGAAAAAGACAAATTCCTAGAAGACACAAAAATTACCAAAACTGGCCCAAAAATAATAGAGCATTTCAAGATACCTATAACAACTAAATAGATTAAACTGGTAACAAAAAATTACCCTGATATCAAAACCAGATAGATATCATAAGAAAAAAACACAGACCAAATATATCTTATGTATATGGACACAAAAATCCCTTAAGAAAATACTAGTAAACTGAAACCAGCAACATAAAAAAAGCATTATTCATGTTGACCAAGTGGGATTTATCCCACAAATACAAGGTTGGTTTAACATCTGAATGTCAATTAATTTAATACAACACAATATCAATAAAATAAAAAAGAAAACCACATAATCCTCACAAGATGATAAAAAGAATTTGGTAAAATCTAAAATTCTTCTATTTAAAAAAGTACTAAAAAAACTAGGAATAGTAGGGAACTTTATCAACCTGATAAAGCACACGGATGCAAAACCCACAGCTAACATCATATTTAGCAAAACCCACAGCCAATGTCATAATTAATGAGGATGGTTAAAATTCCTTTATGAGGAAAGAAGCATCTTTTCAACAAATAATGCTGAAACAACTGGATAGCCACACACAGAAAACAATGAAGTTGAACCCCTACTTCACACAATATACAAAAATTAACTCAAAATAGTTTGAAAGCCTAAAAATACCTATAAAGCTCTTATAATAAAACATAGGGATAAATCTTAATGACATCAGATTTTGCATTGGCTTCTTAACCATAATATCAAAAGCATAAGAAACAAAAGAAAAAATAGATATATTGGACTTCTTAAAAATTAAAACCTTTTATACTTCAAAGGACACTACCAAGAAAGTAAAAAGATAACCCAAAGAATGGGAAAAATATTTGCAAATTACATATCTGATAAGGGCCTTGAATTTAGAATACATAAAGAATGTCTCCAAAGCAGATATTCAAATTGCCAATAAGCACATCAAAAGAAATTCAGCATAATTAGTCCTCAGGGAAATGCAAATCAAAACTATAATGAGATACAACTTTGCACTAATAAGGATAGCTAAAATCAAAAATCAAATTATAACAAATGTTTATGAGAATGTAGAGGAATTGTAAACCTCATACACTGCAAGTGGGAATGCAAAATGATGAAGCCACTTTGGAAAATAGATAGGCAGTTCCTAAAACAGTCAAACATAAATTACTATATGACCCAGCAATTCCACTCCTAGGTATTTACTCAAGAGAAATGAAAACATATGTTCACATAAAAACTTGTGCACAAATGTTTATAACAGCACTCACACTATCTGAAAGGTGGAAACAATCCAAACATCTATCAATTGATGAATGGAAAAGCAAGATATGATCTATACATACAGTGGTTTATTATTAAACTATGAAGAGGAATGACCTACTAATAATACATGCAACAACATGGATAAACCTTGAAAGCATATGCTAAGTTAAAGAATAAAATAACAAAAGATCACTTATTCTCTCTAGATTCTTCCTCTCTGTGCAGGGCATCTCTGAAAGAAAGACAGCAGCCCCAGTCAGGGGCTTATAGATAAAACTCCCATCTCCCTGGGACAGAGCACCTGGGGGAAGGGGCAGCTGTGGGTGCAGCTTCAGCAGACTTAAACATTCCTGCCTGCCAGCTCTGAAGAGAGCAGTGGATCTCCCAGCACAGCGCTTGAGCTCTGCTCAGGGACAGACTGCCTCCTCAAGTGGGTCACTGACCCCCATGCCTCCTTATGGGGAGACACTTCCCAGCAGGGGTCGACAGACACCTCATACAGGAGATTTCTGGCTGACATCTGGCAGGTGCCCCTCTGGGATGAAGCTTCCAGAGGAAGGAGCAGGCAGCAATCTTTGCTGTGCTGCAGCCTCCACTGGTGATACCCAGGAAAACAGGATCTGGAGTGGACCTCCACCAAATTCCAGCAGACCTGCAGAAGAGTGGCCTGACTGTCAAAAGGAAAACTAACAAATAGAAAGCAATAGCATCAACATCAACAAACAGGATGAGCAT